TATTATTATTATTATTATTATTATTATTATTATATATATATATATATATATATATATATATATGTACATAAGCATCTCGCTCTTTATGGAGATGGGGAAGCGTGTAAGCGTGTGGTGATTGAGACTAGTGTCATAAGTTCCGGCAGGTCTTATGTAATCATTTGATGTATACCTTTGTATACGTATGTAGGCTGCCTACCATGTCATAGTCTCTAAACCTCTCGCTTATATTTGCCTTCACTTTATGCAACGTCATTTTTGCGACCTTCATTTGTCAATTCGCAATTCGTTGTCATTCAGTCACATTACAACAGGAATTTGTCGTACATTTTTACTATAAACTGTGTTTCATTTGCATCTCATTTATAATACAGCTTTCTTTCATAATACCACTCTCTTTCATTATACTACACTCTTTCATTATACCACACTCTTTCATAATACTACTCTCCTTTATTATAATATGTGTTTGATTTGCATCTCTCCATCATACATCTTTGTTTTATTATACTTCCGGGTTTGTTGGAAATCAGTGACTCACCATACATTGCTGTCTGCTTGTATTGCCCCACCTATTTGGGTACAGATCTATGACGTGCGCATGGTTAAGCCGCTGTGTGTGGTGCCGTTTGTGCATATTCCACAGCATCTCAAATTCCTGCCCAATGCGCCGTCGCAGCTGATGGTGGCCAGTCAGTCGGGGCAATTCCAGGTATGATACTTAGTAAAACCAAGTTGATCCTAAGAAAACCCAAGTGTATTTCGAAAACCCCTGTTTTGATACTAAGAAAAACCCGTTTTTACCGCTACAAAAACGATGTTGATCAAAGGAAACCCCATGCTGGTCCTGAGAGCGACTCTGTGATGCCCACTATGAAAAACCATGCCAACCGCACACCACGCGCTCCACACACTCATACACTCCATACACTCAATACACTAAATACACTCCATACACTCAATACACTCAATACACTCAATACACTAAATACACTCAATACACCTTACACATGCGCAACAGCACTCTCAACACCGAAGGATCATATTAAAGCGTACTAAACGCTGATGAGTCATCATGCGATCATGTCAAAGGTTATCATGCATGAGTATCTGTTTGCCCCATGGTCTATAGTATCCCATGCTTATGTGCCTGTTTCGTTTTCTAATTCCCCTGTCTTGTGTGCAGGTGTTGGATGTATCGAATGTTTCTCAGAGAGATGCGTATGGCTATCATATTGACACACGCGGTGGCTTTGTCACAGCTTTGGACGTCAGTTCCTCAGGTGAGCGCCACATGTGGTTTGTGTTCTATAAATAATTGCCATTCGTGTTCTATAAATAGACTTCATTCGTATTCTATAAATAGACACCATCCGTGTTTTATAAATAAATGTCCTTGCGTTTTCTATTAATACTTCGCTTTACCCTTGCGTGCCTGTCTTAGGGCTGCTTGCTTATTGTGCATGAATTATGTGTTTATACCTGTAGGTTGGGTTTTCGTGTTCTATGCGTGGATGTCTGTTACTCTACGGTTTAGGGTTTATCTTGTCCCACTTAGACCAACATGTTGTCCTTGCTCGGTTGCTGTTTGTAACTCACTCACACTCACCTCTCGGAGTCACACTCGCAAGTAGCAATGGTTGTTCATCTCCTAGTCACACTCGCAAGTAGCAGTGGTTGTTCATCTCCTAGTCACACTCGCAAGTAGCAGTGGTTGTACATCTCCTAGTCACACTCGCAAGTAGCAGTGGTTGTTCATCTCCTAGTCACACTCGTAAGTAGCAATGGTTGTTCATGTCTCGTGTATGTGTAAGCGCATTGGTGACTCAGCTGTGAAACGAAGGTCTGGTCATGTGATTTACCTCCCTGCGAAATCTGTGGCATTCTATTAATAACCGCCAATGGCACCTCTTCTGCATGCACTATTGCTCTCAGGTGCGTTGATGGTCGTGTCTGATAGTCTGGGGTGCATCCACCAGTTCTCCACTGACAGTGCGCACGGCGGCGTTCGTATCAACAATGAATCCAGGTAGCAACACACTTGCCTGCCCTCGGCACGTGTGTGTGTGTGTGTGTGTGTGTACGTGATGTGGATATACTCCTGCATGCGTGTGTACAAATGATGTGTGCTTTAGGTTATGTATGTACCTGAATACAGATGAAGTTAAATGCGAAGTCACGTGTGTCTGCCCCCTTTCACGCGTGTGTATAAACCATCCCTGGACGTGTGTAATTAGCAAATTAAACTCCCTGTGCTTCATTCAATATATTCACAGTCGTCGGTAGTTCATGCATACTATGTTTTACATTGATAACACATGGTACTTTTTATATACATACTACGTGTTACACTACAACTTCTTAGACCAGTCATTGCAGCCTTGGGCGCAGCAGTATATGCACACCAATTGTGGCTGTACATACCCATTCATTCTAAACATCCAGAAGACGTGTAATGAAGCCTTGGCATATGCCTGCATTAAGCAACACGTTTGGTGCTTTTCTTAATGTGACGGAAGTTCTGTACCATCCCAATACATAAGCAACTTTTCCTTTGAATTAATAATAACTCACAGGAAGATTGATTACCCCGACGACACGTCAGCAGAGATTCAGGACATTGAACTGTTCTCACCCAAAAGCAGCCGTGCCCATCCAGATCGAGTGATCGGGGTCATATCGGTCCGAAATCCCCAGGACAGGACAGCCCGAATGGCACGCGATTCGCCGCTGCCGTTGTCAATAATCAGGATGCCCTATGTGAAAAGCAAGGTAGAAAGGGACATTCGTATTCTCAGCAGAACATCTAAACGGAAAACCTAGTTTATAGTTTCAACCGGGTTTATAGGATTACCTTCGTTATTGTAGCCAACGACTGATCGCTGACAGAATCAGATCTTAACGCGCCTATTGAAGCTCGGCGGTACCTTTTGGGTTTTTGGGGTTTTGGGTTTGTTTGATATCAAACTATTGGTGCATTTGTAGTATGGTCCTCACGGACATGTTCTGCCTCTTTCGGTGATTTGTTCGTGTGTGCTTTGCTTTGCTGAATCCACACTTTTTCATGACACATGTGTGCTATGTGTATGTCTCTACCCACTTCGTGCTCCATACTTCCGCAGTTTTCGGACTGCTGTCTCATGCGTGTGTACTATGTGTATGCCACCATCCACTTCTCTCTGCCAATACCATCCTCCTTATGATTAAATGGTGAATGCGCCTACTCATGATTAAATGATGAATACTTACCTATGATTAAACGATGAATACCTACATATGATTAAATGATGAATACCTACTTATGATTAAATGATGAATACCTATGCTTGTGCTTCATGTCCAGCTCATGGCGTTCTAGTGTATTAGCGTATGTGTCCATTCGCTTATCTCTACTATCCATCGTCTGCCTGCCTAAGTACCGTGCGTTGTTGCTGTGCCTTTGCAGGAGAAGCTGCTCAGTGACTGGCCTGCGTCTTTGACACGATTCTACCGCAAACCCCCACAACCAGTGGATGCGCAAATACTCTCCACGCTCAAGATGAGTGACTTCGTCGGCTTTGCCAAGAACAGCGGCAAACGCCTGCGCAACCAGGTGAGTACTACATTCTATATTAATATACGTTCAT